AACTAACTAGTTATGCTTTGTGTAAGAAAGTATGATCTATTGTGGTGCATGAACTGGCCATACATGTTAGCTAACGTTACAATCTTACGTTGGCTAAGGTTACTTAGCTAGCTAAACTTAATTGGCTATCATAGCAGCCAATGACGTTCACTAGTTTATTTGTACATATTTGTTTGTGCTCCGATTACACACAAGTGTCTAGATCAGCAGTTTACACATAACTTCGGCCTTATGTGAAAAACCTTACTTTGCAAAATATAGCTACCTAGCTTTCCTCACTTGTTGGTTAGCTACCTAACCAACGGTAGCTCTCATCTGACTAGTATAATGTTCCATTAGCTAGCTAGCTAGATAGCTACCTAGCTAATCAAAACAAAAACGCATTCATTGGCTAGCTAACTTTATTTCCCTGTTCGTTAGCTAGCTAGCTTTCAGCTGACTGGTGTTAGCTAGGTACATAGGCTAGCTGCTAGGTTTTGTACAAGCGAGCTAAAGTTAGCAACGTAACATTAGCTACCTAGTTAATCAAAATATATGTTTGCATTTATTGATTAACCTAAGCTTGAATACCACCATATAGCTAGCTATAAACAGTAGCCTAGGTTTGTTCGCATACACTTCTTATAACTGGCAGTGGCAGCATGGTGCAAACAGCTGTGTTGTTGCCAAGCAACCAACCCTGTGTTAGAACTCTGAGTTTCGACTAAAAAAGATGTTAGCATTGTCAGAAATGCTACAAAAAGGTAGCACATAGTTGGTTCTTAACCGTTTGAAGGGGGCAGGTTAGCAATCCTCGCTATATGAGCCATGTTACAATTCCCACCAAGTGGGTTAACCCTATTGGCTCGATGCGTAGGGCGTTAGCCTTTCACACCAGCGACTCGGGGTCGCTTCTCTGCCCCACCGTTCGCTAAAGATATACAGTCAGGTCCATAATTATTGTCCCCCTTGATAAATATGAGCAAAACATTTTATAAAATAAGAGTGATTATATTATATTATACTAATACAATTGCTCAGAGAAATAGAATTGTGTTTAGCAAGTTATAAATATTTTTTCTTTAAGAAAGTGGTCAAAATTATTCACACCCCTGTTTACAATACACTAGCACCCTCCATTTGCAAGGATAACGACAATGAGCCTTTTCTAAAACATTTTATGAGATTGGAGAGTACGTTGGGAGGGATCTTAGACCATTCCTCCATAAAGAATCTTTCCAGAACGTTGATATGCTTTGTCTGCTCTTATGGACTGCACTCTTAAATTCAAACCACAACTTTTCAATGGGGTTCAAGTTCGTAGACTGAGATGGCCATTGCAAAATGTTGATTTTGTGGTCAATTAACCATTACTTTGTGGATTTTGATTAGTCCAAAGAGCTCTATTTTCATGTCATCTGACCATAGCACCGGTTCCAATCCAAGTGCCAATGCCATTTATCAAATTCCAGGTATGGTATGTATTATTTATTTATACAGTCTTTTCTGCTCATCTTTATCAAGGTTGGCAATCATTTTTGACCTAACTGTATACACAGTACATTCCCCATATGTCAGTCATAAGTCACACATGTTGTCCTGCTCCTGCATTCATTCCAGTCATCAGCAACATAGCATTGGGGTAGGCACATGTTTGACATCAATGTGTGTGACATGGTAATACAATTGCCAATTTTACAAGTAGGCTATGCTGGAATGGAATGTTTTGCCTAGTTTGGAAGGTTTTGTTGGTTTTGACACTCTTATGTAGGTGTCATAACCAGCCATAAAATATCGTAATATATATCAGAACAGGTCTAAATATGTGTCATGACAGTCTTATGACAATGTTAAGACAGGTTATGACAAGTTATGTCAACTATTATAACATGTTATGACATGTTATGACTGTGTTATAAGGTGCTATTTACATTTACATTTACATTTTAGTCATTTAGCAGACGCTCTTATCCAGAGCGACTTACAGTTAGCGCATACATTATTTTATCGAACCCACAACCCTGGCGTTGCAAACGCCATGCTCTACCAACTGAGCTACATCCCCTGCCGGCCATTCCCTCCCCTACCCTGGACGACGCTGGGCCAATTGTGCGCCGCCCCATGGGTCTCCCGGTCGCGGCCGGCTACGACAGAGCCTGGATTCGAACCAGGATCTCTAGTGGCACAGCTAGCACTGCGATGCAGTGCCTTAGACCACTGCGCCACTCCCATAATGTCAAATAAATGTGCATTGGTTAATTCTAGATCATTCAAAATTCTAGATAATTTGATTATGTCCATATGTTTATGAAAATAGTTGGTAGTTTCAAACATAATTATTCTATCAGTATATTAACAAAACATATAAAAGGGCCATATGTGGTTGTATCATTTCAAAGAAGAATAAAATTATATTTGACATTCAATTGAATACATGAAGTCCCACCAAAATCTCTGGATACCATTAATATTCTCTCTCATTATCCAATTGTTTATGTGTTATAATACAGTCAATATTTCATGGATTTTTAAAATAAAAAAGGGTTGATTATCGTACTCCATTATGCAGCTGTTACATTGATCAAAACTGTATTTTTGACCATTTATAAATGTTTACGATCGTTGCTATTTAATTGTCCTCGCTCCACTCCCAACCCCACACTGTTGAGACAACCCAGTACCAGTATCATCAATACATTGAGTTTTAAGCTGCAGGAAGCAGTGCAGAGTCAATGCCACTCTGTGGAGCAGTAGGTATGAGGAGAGGAGAGTCGTAGAGATCATGATCAAATTATCCAGGCATGCAAAGTCTACTGTGAGAGTCCAGGGCTCCCTACTCGCTCTAGCAGGGACATCATGCAGCCATTATTTTAGAGGGGCACCAAGTACCCCCTCCAGAAGTTGGAGAATTTAGCATTTTTCAAACACCTGAAACAGCTTTTTTCTTGCAATCTAGAGCCATAATCATTATGCCCTTTTCTATGTAAAAAAATGTATATTTTTCCACAAAGGTTGTCTAAGCATACCTCTTTACCTGTTTAATTGTACTTTTCATTAATGTTGCACGTTGATTCTTTAAGAACTTTTATGCCTTAGAAGTTTAGTACAACTGCCACACTGATATATGGTATCGTAACCAAATAATTAAATCATTTTTTGTCAATAATTCTGTATCTATTTGTTGTAATTTGAGTTTTGAAAAGAACAATCTAAATGTCTTTCAATCTCTGTCTATGAATTTTTATTCACTGTCTATGAATTTCCATAAAATAAAATTGCTAGGTGGCTAGTATTACAGAGAAACAACAAAACATGTTTTATTTATTCATCAATGAATCAGTAGGCTACATAGCTTGATCAGATTAATTTACAAACATACCTCCTGTCCATCACCGGCAGCTGTGAGTGTCACTCTATACTCTCTCTCCTCCTCCACTGACGATACTGCACGCACTAGAGTAATTGCATCCAGCGTAGGGTCCGGTATCTTTGTTCCGTGCACCTAGGAATGGGCCACTTACTAGGGAGAATTGGGGGTGGGGGCAAAATACCTCAGATGGGTCTTTTTATAAATAATTATGATAAAGTGTAGGCTTAAAAATGAAGTTTAGTAAAAACATCTGAAAAATGTAAAAACAGGACAGATCTGAGTGGGCACGTGCCTTAGTGCCCCCTATGGGCATGACACAGGAGTCCATGGCTCCGTACTCACTCTAGCCCTAATTGCTCTCACCCACCTGTCACGATCGTTATAAGAAGTGACGGACGAAGGCGCAGCGTGATAAGCGTACATTCTTTTAATGAGTACACACACAAACAAAACAATAAACGATACGTGAAGTCCTAGGGTTAAACACAAACCTTACGGATCAAGATCCCACAAAACAAAAGTGCCAACAGGCTGCCTAAGTATGGTTCCCAATCAGAGACAACGAGAATCAGCTGCCTCTGATTGGGAACCACCCTGGCCAACATAGAAAACACGAACTAGAACACAACATAGAAAATAACTAAACATAGGAACTAACACCCTGGCTCAACATTAAAGAGTCCCCAGAGCCAGGGCGTGACACCACCATTATACTGTACTGGGACACCTTCAGTCTCCAAGCTAATAAACAAGGAAATGAGGAGGAGAGAGGAGACTTGCTGGTCTCACTATAACTTGTGGCTGCTGATTAGTTTATGACATCATTTTTTATTGTTTACTACAAAAGAACATAGTACTGTAATATAGTATGTAATCCCTTCGTGGAAACCCGAGCAACCAACTCATATTATATTTCTGAGACTATACATTAGACGTCAGATCACTTAGACTGCAGGCAATGAGATGATTACCTTGCTCTAACATAATGGTACATTATATGGTTACATTCACCATGAATCTCTGTGATATAATTCCACTACAACAGCTGAGCTGTCGTGTAAGCTATTTTGCACCTTTCCCATGTCCAAATGAAATGTGAAATATGCTCAGCTTGTAGTAACCCCTCGAAAAAACCACTCTTAAGCGTATTACTTTGTGAGGATGGATCCGTGCCTAGAGAAAATATTGCTATGACAACTGGACCAATGACAGCATGTGCAGTACAGAAAGAGTATGATTGAACAGACCCCCTGCCTTCTGTTTTGGGTTTGGAAAGCCTGCCCTAATTGCACTGTGTACTGCATACCTCTGAGCTATAAGTGTGCATCTCCTTACTGCCGAAGCTCCAGGTCTACCGCCAACCACCGCATTGGCTTGCCTTCACTAGTTGGATCTTGTCATTTTGAATTGCAGATTATCTTATTTTTCCCAGCACATCCAGGATTAGAGTTTGCTCATCAGCATTCTGATTGTTCTGTGAGGGGGATAAGTCTTCCCCTAAACCAGTTCAAATGGGTAGCAAGCGGAGGAAGATAAGGAAATAAATATATTAGATATGGGGAGTGGGGACTGACTGCACTGGGAGTTAAAATTCAGATCTGGGTGGTTACGTAAACCCCAGATGTGGTAGTTCGACCCTAGACCTGAGACCATGATGGTAATCTCTTTGAACAGCGGGCACACTATTTCCTGACTAAGACATGCTGTTCAATCCTCCGCACATGGGCATTAATAATGTCCCTAGACAGACACTGTAACTGCTGTGTCCCCACTCCCCAGTGTATTGTGCTGCTCAACATCCCCTCGTATACTGTAGCTGACCCCACAGTCATGCTTACCATCCTTTCTCATAGACTGTGCTCTGTCGTTCTGCATACCGTCTCCTCTCATAGTCGACCCCTGACAGCGAGGCTGAGGCCATACCAAGACATCATGCCATCCTGTCACCAGATGCCTCTGACCATGGGACGGCCAACATGTGCCGCAGGTCCAAGCCTGCCTGTCTCCGTCATGCCAATTTATAGGGGGTGAGAGAGATTTTCCTGTGGCAGCAGCTTTTCTCCTAGTCAGCAACCCAACCTGGGATTACCATATCCCCTCTCCTGAAAGCAGTCGCCCCGGCAATATGCAGCCAGCAACATTCCTGGGAGTGATGTTTCATCATTTCCTCCGCCCATCCAAAGACATTATTTTTTTCCATCTAAAATAGAAAATGGAACTGCTTATTTACCACAGTAATGTTGTTGCAGTGGGATCTGGGATGGGAGGAGTATGAGGAGAGTGAGGCCTGTGTTGTGTGTATAATTCTATCTGGCAGTCCCAGAGGTTTTAACAGTGTGCTCTGAATGATTTTCCACCCCAAGTTATTATTGCATTCCATAAATCTTTACAGGAGGAGAAGATTACATCTGTGAGGTTTCTTACTAAATTTCCTGCATCAGGAAAATGTGCAGCTATACTAATACAACTACAGAAAACAATATCTCAATATAAACAATGAGTTTAATTTTGAGTCATTGTTTAGGCTACTGTATGTGGTGGATTTTTCACAGCTTTTATAATTTTTTCTAAATTATTCTGTTGTGTAGTAGAGTCTATTTGAATAGAACAAAACAGAAAATCACCAACCAATAGCCTACTAGTTAGGCTAACCATTAGATGAGGGATAAATATTTTAACCCACATAGACTAATTGAATCCAAGATCTATCTCAAGCTGAATATGGAAGAGGCTCCATCTTCATTGGCATGACCCAACCAAACCCATTGAGCCGATTACCAACCATCTTTAATGTTCTTGGATAAGGGTGTTGCATTTTCAAAGAGAAGTAAAATAAATATATAAATATATTAGGTATAGCCCCACCAGAGGAGTTGCCTGCCTGTTCGAAGGAAGCGTTGCTTCATGCATTCCCACGGTGTGAAGATTAAAGCAGGACAGGCATTTCTACACCTACGCCATTTGTTCCATTATCTTGTGGGCTGATAGATCAGATCTTCTGACAGAAAGAGAGGAGCTTTGAGGTGTGTGTGTGTGTGTGTGTGTGTGTGTGTGTGTGTGTGTGTGTGTGTGTGTGTGTGTGTGTGTGTGTGTGTGTGTGTGTGTGTGCGTGCGTGCGTGTGCATGAGCTAGGCTGTCATTAGGGAGAAGCAGGCATGGCCCTTTGATGTCCTGGAGTGCACTAAGAAATGCATAGGGATGAGCCGGCTACTTCCCTCACTGAAGCTTTGTAGATTCTGGGGAGGGAGAGAGAGAGGGAGACCTATGCGGCACATGCCAAGGACCCAATATTACATTTCACTAAATAATTTGGGAGGGCTATTTTTAGGGCTTTTTCTGAGACACAGAAGAAAAAAAAAGAGCAGAGCCAGGAATGGTGAGCCGTGGGCCATGATAATGTGTGATGTGTCACTGTTGCCGTGGTGTGCGTAGCCCCAGCGAAACATGATTGGGTTGTGTTGATCAGTGTTGTGTGTATCAAAGCTACACGCTATGTACTTTGTTCATCATACTGTCTACTGTGTGAGATTAACCAGATATATCTAGCTATCGTATCTCCATTTTACCTCATTCATTTGCTAGCTCCAACTCTTGTGTTGTCCACTGAAAGAGTGATAATGTTTGCCATGGTGAGAGATAATGGGGTTCTGAGCTAAACAAATAAACAAGGCGATAAACAAGAAAGCTGAGTGTTTCAGGACAACAGGAAGGCATTATTGAATTGATACTGATACATTAGCCTTGAGCCCTAATGGAGGAGGTTGTCAATATCCTCACCCCAAGTCTCTATCAGGAGAGCACTGTTCTCTGTAATCACTGTAGGAAACACTCTGCCAGAGCTGTGCTGTACTGTTGTGCACCGGGGGTGTCTTACACTAAGGTACAGTGGGGAAAAAAAGTATTTAGTCAGCCACCAATTGTGCAAGTTCTCCCACTTAAAAAGATGAGAGAGGCCTGTAATTTTCATCATAGGTACACGTCAACTATGACAGACAAAATGAGGAAGAAAATTCCAGAAAATCACATTGTAGGATTTTTTATGAATTTATTTGCAAATTATGGTGGAAAATAAGTATTTGTTCAATAACAAAAGTTTCTCAATACTTTGTTATATATCCTTTGTTGGCAATGACACAGGTCAAACGTTTTCTGTAAGTCTTCACAAGGTTTTCACACACTGTTGCTGGTATTTTGGCCCATTCCTCCATGCAGATCTCCTCTAGAGCAGTGATGTTTTGGGGCTGTCGCTGGGCAACACGGACTTTCAACTCCCTCCAAAGATTTTGTATGGGGTTGAGATCTGGAGACTGGCTAGGCCACTCCAGGACCTTGAAATGCTTCTTACGAAGCCACTCCTTCGTTGCCCGGGCGGTGTGTTTGGGATCATTGTCATGCTGAAAGACCCAGCCACGTTTCATCTTCAATGCCCTTGCTGATGGAAGGAGGTTTTCACTCAAAATCTCACGATACATGGCCCCATTCATTCTTTCCTTTACACGGATCAGTCGTCCTGGTCCCTTTGCAGAAAAACAGCCCCAAAGCATGATGTTTCCACCCCCATGCTTCACAGTAGGTATGGTGTTCTTTGGATGCAACTCAGCATTCTTTGTCCTCCAAACACGACGAGTTGAGTTTTTACCAAAAAGTTCTATTTTGGTTTCATCTGACCATATGACATTCTCCCAATCCTCTTCTGGATCATCCAAATGCACTCTAGCAAACTTCAGACGGGCCTGGACATGCACTGGCTTAAGCAGGGGGACACGTCTGGAACTGCAGGATTTGAGTCCCTGGCGGCGTAGTGTGTTACTGATGGTAGGCTTTGTTACTTTGGTCCCAGCTCTCTGCAGGTCATTCACTAGGTCCCCCCGTGTGGTTCTGGGATTTTTGCTCACCGTTCTTGTGATCATTTTGACCCCACGGGGTGAGATCTTGCGTGGAGCCCCAGATCGAGGGAGATTATCAGTGGTCTTGTATGTCTTCCATTTCCTAATAATTGCTCCCACAGTTGATTTCTTCAAACCAAGCTGCTTACCTATTGCAGATTCAGTCTTCCCAGCCTGGTGCAGGTCTACAATTTAGTTTCTGATGTCCTTTGACAGCTCTTTGGTCTTGGCCATAGTGGAGTTTGGAGTGTGACTGTTTGAGGTTGTGGACAGGTGTCTTTTATACTGATAACAAGTTCAAACAGGTGCCATTAATACAGGTAACGAGTGGAGGACAGAGGAGCCTCTTAAAGAAGAAGTTACAGGTCTGTGAGAGCCAGAAATCTTGCTTGTTTGTAGGTGACCAAATACTTATTTTCCACCATAATTTGCAAATAAATTCATTAAAAATCCTACAATGTGATTTTCTGGATTTTTTTTCCTCAATTTGTCTGTCATAGTTGACATGTACCTATGATGAAAATTACAGGCCTCTCTCATCTTTTTAAGTGGGAGAACTTGCACAATTGGTGGCTGACTAAATACTTTTTTCCCCCACTGTAGTATTTGGGTCCGTTGGCGAAGCCCATCATTATAAATAGTGGAGGGTAATGCAATGTGGATGTGCCACTGCTGACCAAGCTCAATAAGTGTATTAACTGGCAGTTTCTCAGTTGCCAGGGGCTGTCTGTGCAACTTCCAGCCCTCAACTTATGTAATGTTAATAAAAACAAATAGTGGACCACAGACCCCTGAGGACATCCTTCATGTCTCTCTCTCCTCTTACCAACTGCCTTGTCAGCAGAAAATAACATGGAGATATGAGCGGTAATGAGGTCTCTCTCTCTCTCTCTGTCGCTGTACTCGGCTATCTAATTACGCCATCAGTGTGGAGGTGAGGAGAGGTGTAACCTGGGATTGATCACATAGCCCTGCTGTGTGCACACACAGATGTTGGCGTTTTGCAGAAATGGCAGACAACGTGTGTTTCTTTTTTTACTTGTGAGATAAATTACCAGGTTGCCAAATTGCTTGGTGCTTTATTAATAAAGCCAGCTGTTCTCGTCCCATCTGAGAAGCAGCGCTGCCCCACTCGCAGAGCAGAAAAGGGGCTATGAGAGAATGCTCAATGCCTCCCAGGCTTACAAGCACAAAATATAGTATGGGACGGGAGGGTTTCTGACACAGCTTACACTATGGTGTTAATCAATTAGTGTACAACATACGGTGAGCTCACTGTAAACCTACACAAGCAGGGTGAGCTGCTGGCACTGTTACTCCATATAGCAGACAGAATCGATCCCAGATGGTGTAGGAGTCAGGGATACCCTGTGATAAGGGGGGGATGTGGTCTTCAGGAGGGATGTTGTGATGTTATGTGCAAATCTGATTTCCAGTATACACAATTCTAAAATCCCACAACTTTATCTACTTCTGTCTACTGTTTATTTGTTGACTGTGTGGCATTTATGTTTTTCTCTATGGTGATTCAATTGTATTGACTGCATCGCCTTCCTGCATATTATATATACTGAACAAAAATATAAACCCAACATGCAACAATTTCAAAGATTTTACTGAGTTACAGTTCATATAGTAAAATCAGTCAATTGAAATAAATGAATTAGGCCCTAATCTATGGATTTCAAAAGACTGGGTAGAGGTGCAGCCATGGGTGGGCCTGGGAAGGCATAGGCCAATCTACTTGTCAGCCAGGCCCACCCAATGGGGAGCCAGGTCCAGACAATCAGAATTAGTTTTTCCCCACCAAAGGGCTTTATTACAGACATAAATACTCCCCAGCACAAAGTGCATCTGTGTAATGATCATGCTGTTTAATCAGCTTCTTGATATGCCACACCTGTCATTTGGATGGATTATCTTGGCACAAGAGAAATGCTCACTAACAGGGATGTAAACAAATTTGTGCACACAATTTGAGAGGAATACGCTTTTTGTGTGTATGTAAAATGTCTGGAATGATTTATTTCAGCTCTTGAAACATGGGACCAACACTTTATATATATGTTGCGTTTATATTTTTGTTCAGTGTAATTTCCATATGGTGATTCAATGTTCTGCTTTTTCTCTTGTCTTCTCTCTCCTTTAGGCGACTACGTTGTGCTGACAGTCTTCTTCGACTTGAGCAGGCGGATGGGTTACTTCACCATTCAGACCTACATCCCCTGCACCCTCATCGTTGTCCTCTCCTGGGTCTCCTTTTGGATTAACAAGGATGCTGTGCCTGCTAGAACATCCTTAGGTAACAACAAAGCAATACAAATCTCATCCATAATTCTTTGATTTCAATTGAATTGAGGATAAATAAACATTTCTGCATCTGCCCTGTATTTAATCTCATCAGGTTCACGCCAAAGCATTCATTTTCATAATCTGCCAACCTAGCCCCAACACAAACATACGTTGCAGCATTATCAGTGGAGTTCATTAGCAGTGTGGTCCCTAATTGATCACTGCCTCTCATAAAATAGGACTTGCTGTGGTCCAGACCGACCCTTAGCGCCCAGAGAGGGCAGCTGCTTCAGTAACTAGTCCTTGATTACATGAGCCCAGCCTGGCGCATATGTTTTTATGCATATCTCAGGGGAGATGCAGCCTCGGCATAAAAATGCAGGGGCCCAACTTTGCTTAAAGCAAAAGGGGGAATGTTTGAGGAGAATGTGTGAGCTATTGAATCTTCCCTTGTCTCCGAAAGGGCGGACATCTTCAGAGAATGTCGTCTTTTAGTTACATATTCCTTAGTCAGTTCCTTATGCACCTCCAAGCCTCTCCAGGCCTCTCAACCCTTACCGCAATCACTCACACCAGGACCATTAGAAGCATTGCTGAATGTAAATCAATCCAGGACACGGACATCCACTTCTTATCAGAGAAGAGCTGTTTGACCTTTAGAAACAATGTTATACCCTATTACTGTGAGAGGTTAACGTATTATTTAATTTATTGCCGGTGTCTATATCTTATAATTTTTTTTCTTATAATCTTCATAACATTTTACTAATATTATGACAAATTGAATTGCCTGCCAAAATGTAAATGGAGTCAAATAGCTTAATTTCCTTTCCAAAGATAACAGAGAGGTACATTTTGGTTACCTAGCTGGAAGGATTAATGGCTGTGACATAATTCTTAATCCTTCAGTGCCATCCAACCAAATATCACAATCACTCCAGGCACCCCCATGGATATTACAACATTAATCTTGAGACATGATGACGTCTCTCATTTTTCATAAAAAATGGATAAATAAACACCATATTAGCCTAAAGCCCTCATGATATATTAGAGTGACTTGTTGAAGAGCTGGGGTGTGTGTTTGAGGCAGGGATGTTGGAAGCTGTACACGGTAAACACACATCTGTAGTATCTGTGTGCTACGTTAAAGGGTTTCCCCTGGTGTAGTATCTGTGTGCTACGTTAAAAGGTTTCCCCTGGTGTAGTATCTGTGTGCTACGTTAAAAGGTTTCCCCTGGTGTAGTATCTGTGTGCTACGTTAAAAGGTTTCCCCTGGTGTAGTATCTCCCTCCACATCATCATGTCTCTTACATGGTGACAAAGAGCCCATGCACCAGATGGCTGGTGGTAAGGCATGGTATGAACATATTGGCTGAATTCGAAAGCATAGATATGTTGTGGATCAAGGGGGACCAAAACAGTTGGTCGCTACGCCATCCGTTATGGGAGACTATACGTCATACTGTGTCAATTGGTTGCAATTAAACACACTCTGCATTTCATAATCCTTTAGTTCCGTGTAATCCAGTACTCAAACCCGTTCTGGAAGAATTTTTTCTGATCACTATACTAAATCATACATGTTTTTACCTGCTGGAATAAAGTATGTAATGCATTTAAAACCCATAAGGATAAAATAGTAAGCTCTCTTCATGTGCAGCATGCTAAAATAGTTCAACCATCCCCACTGTATATCATACATATTTTATTTTGTTCAACCAGTCTGAGATTCCTCCATTCTAATAATTTCCTATGAGAATACATTTTTGGACAGAAAGTTTATTTTGAGTTTTTTATATTTTTTTCTCACATCTCTGAGACCATTAAAAAAGTAAATAAAACAACTATAAATAAAGGCATACTCTCAAACAACTTGTCATGTTAGTCTCCTACATCTCCTACATTTTGGAATGCCTCCACTGCACCATATCCCCAAATCCTAAAATCCAACATCCCTAAAAATGTGATCGACCACCACCCATAGCTACAGTACAAACTGATTGTCATAGCTAGCCACCATGCATTAAATGCTGTAGGACGAATCTGCAGGTAGCTAAAGCTAACCAACTAAGTACAATGTTAGTTAGCTAACATTAGGCTATAACTAGCAATGCGAATGTCTTTCTGAGATACAAATAATATTACTTCACAGATTATACACGTAACGTTAGCTAGCGAGCCAGAAAGCTAATGTTCGCTAGCTAGCGAACAGTACGCTTTAACCTGCAATGAAAACGACTTCCTGACAAAATTAGAAACGTATAATATCTGAAAATGTAGCTAGACTCTTACCCGTATACATGGATGATGACACGCTTCACGGCAAACTGGAACCACTTTAAGTAAGACGTCCTGTGTCTTTTCCATTTAATTTGTAGCTAGCTACAGCTTGGTTGGCCCGATGTGTCAAGTCACTCCGGTTCACACTGACCGTGTGCAGAAAGTAGTCTATCACAACTTTTTCCCATCTTTGTCGATAGCGCCTGCTAAATTAAGAGCAGCAATGTTGTTGAGAGCAGTAGCGACCCTTTTGCAGTTCTCCATGGCTAACATTATATCTTTCAAAAAAGCTGCGGTAGCAAGGATTATCTACACATACAGAGCAGCTCATGTTATCGACAGAAGCGTGCTACATGGCAGACCAATCCAAACTCATCTCTCGGCATGTCAACTCCATCCATTATCTCAGCCAATCATGGCTAGCGGGAAGGTTCCTGTCTTTTTCCATGGCTAAACCAACTAGGCTTGTAATTTAACAATAATATTCGTATTTACAGATGACATACAAGTTGGTTATTAAGGCACATGAAAGTTGACATGTTCAAGAAGGCGTTTCTGCCAAAAAACACATTTTGATAAAAAATATATAATTTAAAAAAAACTTCAAATGCCTCTCCTGTGAAATAGAGACGTGTGACATACGCATAGCTTCTTAAAATGGGTCACAAATGGTATATGTTATCCTTTGCTGCTATAACCTCTCTATACCCTCATCTTGACCCTCTTGGCCATCTTGTCCATTGACAGGCATTACCACTGTGCTGACCATGACTACGCTGAGTACCATAGCCAGGAAGTCGTTGCCTAAGGTATCCTACGTGACGGCCATGGACCTCTTTGTGTCCGTGTGCTTCATCTTTGTTTTCGCCGCGCTGATAGAGTATGGAACACTGCACTACTTTGTGAGCAACAGGAAGCCAAGCACAAAAAAGGACAAGAAAAAGAAAAACCCGGTGAGTGTTTTATATCCAAAGTAGGCCCACAAGTAGTGAAGACAAAATTGTTCTGTCAGGGAACTTACAGTATTTCTCCTTAAATCATTTAGCATTTGAGCTTAGCGTGTTTTCACAGAGTTTTAACCTTACCCGTGATGATGTGTATATATGAGGAAGAGGCTAGGTCAAGGAGTGGAGATTACAGCACTTTCCAAACACTGAGTTATTTCCAGCCTCGGAAAGCCTCACCAATCACTGTCACTGTATTATTGTGTTACTGTAATGTATAGCCGCCTACTACTACTAGGTTTCCTTAAGGGAGAAGTCCTTGTGAGTGCCATGCAGTCTGCGGGAGAGGCACGGGAGAAATAGAACCTGTCCTTAATCCACACCACACCTGTGCAGTAGTAATTTAGACCTTTCTCACATGACCAGAACTTTTCTTAGGGTCTTCAAATCCCCACAACATAATGGTGGCTAAAGTGAAAGCACCAGAGCTAGCAAGGTACTTAAAAGGCTGTGGGATGCTCCAGTTTCAGCTTCTCTGTAACTAAGATTTTCTTTTGGATATAAATGTGTGCAGGATGAACGAGTAATGATCTGGATGTTCTCACCAAGGTTGTTCTCACCGAGGTTCTTCACATGGTCTGCCAAGATATGATGCGGAAGCCTTTGACTGAGATCCTTTTGATCTTCATGAATAGTTAAGAATAAAACAGGAAATCGAGGAAATAACATCCTTTCATTTCTCATAGGCTTTGGGTGTAAGGGTCTAACCATTTTCTGAAAAGATAAAACATAACAATGTCCTATTTCATGTTATGATGGTAATTGTTCAGAGAATTGTATTATGCATGAGGACAACAACAGGTTATTTATAATCAATCTATTAAATGTATGCGTACTGGAACTGATTAGGTATGCTAAAGTATTTTAAGTTAGATGGAGAAAGAGAGTATAAAGTACTACAAATCCATATTCAATGTGTTTTTTAGATACAAATGCCAATAACTGTACATAAAAATGCCTTTGTCTTGTTTTGGTGTAACGGGTCAGCTTTGAGCCCTACTAGGATCAATATCACCCCTAAACCATTGAAGTCAAGTTTTTATCATGGATATAGCATATCTCTAAAGGTAGATTTGACTGGGGATCAACCTGGTCTCCAGTGTGATGTATCCTGTCATGCATCTTCCTCCTCCTGTATGTGTGTGTCTCTTCAGTATGCTGTTCTCTTTCTACTTTTATGTTCTTTTGATGTTCTCTTTGTTTTAGTTTTTTGACATGTGTTCTTTTTTGTGTTGTTCTGTTTTAATTCCACATATTCTTTGTTTCCTGTTGGGACAAAAGCTCCTCCGGTTCTTTTCCTCAAAGGTATATTGCCTTGAGTTTCAACTATTGACTGCATGTGTCTGCTGCATTTTGCCTCTTTCTGGCTCCAGCTAGCGCACCGCACTGCTACTTGTCTGTTTTAGATACCCTTTCTTTACCTTAGAATCTCTTCCGCAATACCACTACACAAAGTGCTCACTGGAAAGTGCAGAGGCAGCCAGACGTACTTGTGTAGTGACAACATTCCGCTCTTTCAACCAGCCCACACACGTCCACAGCTAGTAAAAAGATGCCACACAATGGTTTCATTCTGGCTTTTTTTCATTTCTTTCTGCCTCACACTGTGCAATTTTGACTGTAAACCAGTGGCAGCTTTTTCTCCCCTGTCAGTTAACCTACCCGTGTATTTGTTGGGCTTTTAACCTGACGCTTCCTATAGAGTCAGCAGAGCCTTAACAGACTGAAATAGACAACCACTACACTGTGCTAAGCCTAATTAGTAGTGATCATCTTAATGGCTCCACACGCAGCAGAGTAGATTTAGCCCCAATAATCTTTAAACACTCATAGTGCACAGGGTGCTACTGAAGAGCTATATTTAACACTCAAGTAAAGAAGACTGTGTGCTTTAAAAATCTGAATCACCCTTAATCTATGGTATGAAATAACATTTCTTAATGGGGTCATTTGACTGAATTGAAATACCATTAGTCAGAGAATACTGTAAGTATGGTAAACATTTGAACCAGCCATTTATAGGAAGGCCATTTTCTATAGTTATTTTAAATTGACAAATAATTTAAAAAAGTTTTACTACAGCTGACACTAAGCTTTAGATTAAAGTGGTACAGATCCAGAGCAGAAGCCTAAGTGTTTCCGTCAATCATTCCTCCCTAGAGGTTGTCTACTTTCATCCGGTTAAAGCTGCAATGCCACTGTTTTGTTTTGCAAACCCCGGCCACGCTGCAGTATTTGTGTTTGCTACTCTGCTTGAGCTAGCTCCCACCACGCTCTTCCTTCTACCGTGCAACCCCACTTTGAGAACCGAGTCACATGACCTGCTGCTGCTTCCTGCTGCAAATCCCCTGGCAGCTGTCAATCAATCAGACAATGATGTGGAACCAGCAATCATGCTTTACATGATGGTTATGTATCGTTTTCAAAGGGACGACAATAACCCTTGTGTTCTAGTGCTGGGCAAATTTGAGCTGCAGGGTGCGAGTTAAAGTCAAATCAGTGTTTTGAGCTTTTATGATGTCACGTCTTAAACAATTTACCCCAATGCTTATGGCATTTGAGAAGTGGTACTTGACACACATATGATTCATTTCATAAGGACAGAACATTCGGAAAGCAATATGATTACCTAAACATAGTACTGGCACGGCATCCATTGTAAATAAAGCTACAGTAAAGCCTCATTAAGTGCAAAAAAGCTTTTGAAAGAGGCTAGAGGCTAGGGTCTCTGTTCAGGCTTTGGGCTCTGTTCAATTAGTAGCGATTCCATTCAGTTTATTTTAAGTGGGACAATCCAATATATAAATGCGTCATTATATTTCTAATTGACTCATTCAGAAAATATTATGCTGGGTCGGAGAAAACTCCGTCTTAAAGTTGATCATGAGAGAGTTTTTTTTTTTAAAGGTGCCATGCTATTTTTAGATAAAAGCCCATGAAAATGCCCTATTTGAATGCTAATTGTGCCTCTTTTGACTGATGGAGCAAAGGACTCGCTGATGTCACTGACCTATTTTAGGAATCATCAGAAATAAAACGCTATGCCCTCAAGTGGTGAGCAGGCTTAAAAGGACGTTGATTTAACCAATTTAGGGACAGGAAATGGAGGATGGAGGAACAATGAGTCCCTGCTCAGGAGTCTTTCTTATCATACAGCTTACATCATGAGCGATTTACAATAAATTCCGATTTCCCCCCTGTGAAATCCACACAATGGTATCCATGTACAGAACAAGAATTGGTCCCGCTTTATTTGAAGTGCATCTTATGAAGGCTTCATAAAGCCTTCATATAGGCTTCATAAGCACTACATAGATGCTTCACAAATCATCTACAACCGTATATCATGCTCTATAAAGATTCATAATGTGGCATAACTGCGTGACATAATCATACATTTATTTGTTCACAGTTGTTCATCTTTTATAAAGCATGAAATACAGTTACAGATGATTTGTGACCCATGTATGCAGTGCTTATGAAGCCTATATGAATGCTTTATGAAGCCTTCATAAGATACACTTCAAATATAGCAGGTCCGATGTAATTTGAGTGAATCATTATGCAAAAGAGGACTGTGTTTAGCTTTGGGACTAATGATAACAATGATGCTCCTCGTGTTTTCCCATGATGTGCAGCAGCAGAGCTTAAAATGGGTTGCCCAGCACTAGAGTCATCATTCTGCTAAATAAAGCAAAACTACACCATGTTTCTGATAGAAGCTAAACTTTGTACTCATAGGCTTTACCCAAAGGTGTTATTTGCATTGCGTGTTCCAAAGGGAATAGTCCATTGTCATCTTTAAGCCACTCTAATTAAATGCAGGTGCCACAGATTGGTATACATGTATTTTACTGACATGCTTAAAAAGATCCCATTGGCAAGTGAAGGTGCAAATTACATTTTGTATACTAACATAAAGAGAGACTAAATTAGGTCCCCTGTGCTGCCTCTTAGACTCTAGTCGCTAACTGTGCTCTCTCTGTTAAAAGCAGACACCTACGGTGGACATACGGCCTCGCTCAGCCACCGCCATCCAGATGAACAACGCCACCCACATGCAGGAGCGAGATGAGGAGTATGGCTACGAGTGCCTGGACGGCAAGGACTGCACCAGCTTCTTCTGCTGTTTCGAGGACTGCCGCTCCGGGGCCTGGCGGCATGGGCGGTTGCACATCCGTGTCGCCAAGATAGACTCGTACGCTCGCATCGGTTTCCCCACCGCTTTCGGTCTCTTTAACCTGGTTTACTGGATCTCCTATCTCTATCTCTAGATCCAGCATGTAGCCAGCCTTATAATATACGTTCTGCTCCAGCTAGATGATTTTTAAGAAGGGGACCCACTGAAATGTTTTCCTTTTATTTTTGTTTCTGTTTGATTTCATTGTTTGTTAATTCATATTTTTCATAATTTCTTTGTATGGTTGAAGCAAAAGTTGTAGCAAAACCAATAGGCATGCAGGGATCTGGTGTCCGATAGTGGAACTACGACTGTGCTTTGGGTAAGCAAGAACCTAAGCTCACCGTAGTGATTCTGCATGACTACGTTTCCCAGATTCCCCTTGGTCAGGTAATTGGTTTATGTAGAAGGTATTCACAATCAGGGCCGCTTCAATGTTTCTTTTGTATCTGCCCTTAGTCAGTATATTAGATTACAGTAAACATTTTCACAGTAAACAAACTTCATTCAAACAAAAAAAGTATTAAGCATGTTCCCGTTTTTTTGTATTAACAAGTCACGCATGTACTGTAGAAGACAAACGGAAGATTTGACATCAGCTTAGTTTCCCATTTTTTTAAATATGTATTTATTTATTGCTATGTTCCATCCATCCAAAATCCAAAATAAGCAAAATCTAAAGCACTTTAATATATATATATAGGTTGAACAGTTAGTATGATTTTCAATTATACTTTGATAGCTAGGTTTCTTTCAGCTAACTGTAAAACATTACTTTAGCACAGTTAAACATTACTTTTTTCATGTGTGGTCAGAGCGCTAGAAAATACTGTTTATGGTCAACTGTACAGACACTGTATATATTTAATATTATGTAGTGGTTTACATTTATTGCATGCACCTTTCAGGCCCAAAATCAACACATGTTTTAAAGGGGCAATCCACAGTTGATACATCAATTTTCAGACATATAAATTAATTATATACTCATAGATAATTGAAGAATATAACTTATAAAGGCCTCAAAAGCTTACTTCGACTGTCGTACCCCATCACAACCCAAGATATAAGCTTGTTTTACTCAATTGTTTGGAAACATTGTAAATGTAAACAAACACTGTATAGCCTCAAAATATGTTTAAAACTATAATTTAGATGTATTGGATGGTCAGTCCTTGCATCATTTAAGAGTGGTTACATTTCTTCAGGTCCATCCCTCAGCTTTTAACCAAAACAGAGGCGGGGTGTCCCTTTGTTATTGTTTAAACTGTAGATTGCCCCTTTAAGGTCTTCTATTGTTGGCTATGGATACAAAAAAAAGAACACTGCTGATTATTAATCTGGATTTTGTCTTACTTTTTTAGGAAAAGTAGAAAATGAGACAATAAAGTCAGATTTTGTCTTATAAATTAACGTTCATCTCTACCAATATGTATTACAAGAGGATCAATCCAGACCTTACAGGCAAAACGTTGTTATATCAACCTTTATTAACTTGTAGACTGCTCTGAGGAACTCATCTTCCCTTTCAAACACTTTGCTATTGGTGGTTATCTTCTTCAATTGACACACAAGTATGGCTGTGCTGGCTCCTATGGGAAGTGTGTAGATAAGAAATAGGCATCAAAAACAAAAGTATGGTTTTCTTACATCAAAACATATTCTGCTCCCTTTCTCTCCCCCACAACCACTTGGTGGAAATGAATATCACGCAAACGCAGCAAGCAGTGTTTTACTTCATTCAGCTGGCACGTTGAGTGTCTACAATGGAAGCGGCTGTAATTCTGAATGCCTACACCCATCAAAATGCCAAAACTCTCACTGAGAGAAAACACCCCATTTGTCATAAGACTGAACTGCATTACTTAGTCACTGCATTAAAACAGGATCCATTCCATCTGTCTCAATGGGTGGTTTAGAGGACTTAAGACAAAAACAAACCATTTAACTTGAGGAAGATTGATGAACATGACAGCTACATGGAGAAGAAGGCATCTGCTTGTGACCAGACCAGATGCATAAGCCTTACTCTCTTTTAAGAGAAACACTGTGGAAATTACAATGATCTGATGCTGACATTTTATTGAAAGATCTGGGAGAAGTTCAGGAATTTATTTTTTGTTTGATTTTCTGTTTTTCTGTGTTTATAATGGATCATTAAATCATTAATGTGTTAATACAACATTTCTCATTTATAGTGTAGCACATTGTGAATGTCAACATAAGTACTCAAACTATTTGTGCTTCACGTCAATAATGGTAATGGAACGCTTACAATGCAACTTATGGGGTATTTATATACCCAAATCATGGCCAACCTGTTCCAGAAGAGTACCTTAGGCAGCCAGAGGATGTTAAAGAGCAGTGCTTTAATCTAAATCAGGGTTTCCCAAACACGGTCCTTTGGCCTCCCATGGGTGGACGTTGATTTAAATTACTCATCATCAAGCTTTGATTATTTGAATCGGCTGTGTAGTGCTGGGAAAAAAAACTGCACCACTGGGAGGCCCCAGGACCAAGTTTGGGAAACCCTGATCTAAATGAATAAGTCATTTTACTGTACATATTGTAAATCACATGATATTATGTACATAGTAGATCACAAAAGGAAACAAACATTTATCAAACCCTTCCATTTTTTAAAGGTTTTATTTTCTTCATTTATCCCATTTCATTGATATCATTATTATCATTGTATTATGCTGGACTGTGTGGGATATTGAAGGGCAGGGGTAGTTACGAGGTCTGGAGCCTGCTGGGTTTCTGTTCTACCTGATAATTCATTGCACCCACCTGGTGTCCCAGGTCTAAATAAGTCCCTGATTGGAGGGGAACAATTTAAAAAAGGAGTGGAACTGGCTTCGAGGTCCAGAGTTAAGTTTGAGGGTTGTAGGGTATTTTTCAAGAAAATTGTATTTCCCTATTTAGAAAGCCCTCAAAGAAACAGAGATGGAGAATGTCCTTTGTCAACAAAATCATAGAGACATCCTTTCGTTCTGAAATGAATTGATCTTGTTGTTGTATTTTCTATGTTGTAGTCTACATAGCCTCTAAAGACCAGTTATAGTCTGTTCACTGAATGGTATGGCTAAAACGGTAGGTGGTGAAGTTACTTATTAACCAGCCTCAATTGACAAGATCTTTTCAGACATTTGACTGATGTTAGCTACTCCCGAGGTACTGAACAGATGTGCTACTCTAGTCTAGAGTGATCTTCAGAGTTTCTGCATTAAATTGTAAGGTTTCTTACCAACATCTGTACTACCCATTGTCAGTTGAATGGAGTGGAAAGTGGGTGGAAATTGAAGCTCTTCCCCTTGTGCATTCACTAGTGGTCCTCTATTTTATACCTGTTGCGAAGCTATCACGCAGTACAAGGTTTTGTCTTAAGGGTGTGTGGGGTTTTTTCACTTCTTCTTTTTGGCCACTTGATAGTTTACTTCAGTTAAAATGTAGAGGAATGTAAGGGAGTGGAAGAACAACTTTAAGTGCCAAACTTTGACACAAATGTTATATATCCTTTCAGAAACCCATAGTAGTCAATGATCTCTAAATCAAAATGAACTGTTTTTTTGCACTGGAGTTTTGAGAAATATGTGTGAATGGGAGAAACGCATTTAGTGTTCTTAGAGAAATAAAGAAATAATGTTTAACAGATTTTAAATATAATTTACTATTAACAGCATGAAAATATAAGACATTATTTGTATATCTTCATTACATTTCACAGACGCTCTTATCCAGATCAACTTGCAGTAGTGAGTGCATACATTTTCTGTACTGGTCCCCTGTGGGAATTTAACCCACAACCTTGGTGTTGCAAGCACAATGCTCTACCAACTGAGCCACACGGGACATTATCTCATAGCATTATCTCATGGTTTATAGCTTATGAACAAATATCAAAGCACAAGGACTAAACCATCTTTGAGACACACTTTAATTAATTCAAGTATACCCTCTGTCTTTGAGACACACTTTAATTAATTCAAGTATACCCTCTGTCTTTGAGACACACTTTAATTAATTCAAGTATACCCTCTGTCTTTGAGACACACTTTAATTAATTCAAGTATACCCTCTGTCTTTGAGACACACTTTAATTAATTCAAGTATACCCTCTGTCTTTGAGACACACTTTAATTAATTCAAGTATACCCTCTGTCTTTGAGACACACTTGAATTAATTCAAGTATACCCTTTGAAAAAGAGAATGAGTTAGCATAGGGCAACATTTTTGTTTGTTTGCAAGAAAGGCTGAGCGAGCACAGTCAGAAAGTAGAGATGTTTTTAACTGTGAGAAAGTAGTTACTGAGGTATCAAGTGTATGTATGGTTTATAAATACCCAATGACCAACCCGTCATATTGAACGGTGCTGTCATACAAAATTAGATTATTTATATCAACTATTTAAATGTTACTTTACTATACCCACAAAAACATTATATTGTATTTTTGTGATTTCTTTATTTTCTTATGTTAGTTTACACACATATACAGTATGGTACATACAGTATTACACACGGTTAAAGGTTTTGGAAGTCTCCTGGTACTTGGAATGAGATAATCATATAAAAGATAGTGTACACAAGATATATAGGTCAATCACAAATATGAATATATTTTACATTTAGGTAGTATTACTATAGTATAGTATAATAGTAGGTGGTATTACTCAGCTTATTTTAATTTGGCTTCCATCTATTCGACCATCTCATGACCTAATTTAGGTTAGAAGAAGACAGAGCATTCAAAGATCAAAGAAGACAGAGTTATTTTATTTGGGGGAAACTACAAATAAGGCCTATATGAAGAGCACATGTAAATAATTTATATTGTTATATATTTTGTCAGACTGGAGAATAAAAACATCTACAGTACCAGTCAAAGGTTTGGACACACCTACTCATTCAAGGGGTTTTCTTTATTTTTACTATTTTCTACATTGTAGAATAATAGTGAAGACATCAAAACTATGAAATAACACATATGGAATCATGTAGTGACCAAAAAAGTGTTAAACAAATCAAAATATATTTGAGATTTAAGATTCTTCAAATAGCCAACCTTTGCCTTGATGACAGCTTTGCAAA